AAAAAACGGAAATCACTAAGAACAAGTTAGGCTTTCCACATCTTTCTGGGATTTATTTTTCCCCATTCTAAAACAGGAGTTAGCTACTAAATGCCTCTATTTGAAGCTCTCCTTTACTTTTCATTTTGATGGATGAAGTGTATGCCCAAGAGCCTTAGAAAGAGGATTTGGCGAGCCAATAGCTGACCGTCTCTGGCTTCCCTGTGGCCATGAGGAAATCAGACATGCCCCACCCTCCATCCTCCTTGACCCTGGTCTGCACCCAATCACTCCTTCCATGATGCTGGCTTCAATAATTCATTTCAGTTCATACAGAACTCATAGACAATACAATTGAGGGAATCTGATAAATTACTACAGGTCAGGATCAGAAAACATAAAGGCTACAGCCACTCGTCCACAGCAACACCCCTCCTCAGTCAGCAGCCAAGGCTCTCTCTGACCCTCAGCCTCAGTCCTGGGTTCCTTGGATCCCTCTCAGGCAGGAGGTCACCAGAGGGTCTCCTTGGACCAGGAAGTCCACCTGCTGCTTTGCCTCACACTCATACTGCCACAACCTCCGGGGGCTCTGGTCTCAGCCTCTGTCACTCCAGACATCGCCCACTGATGGCTCTCCTTCCATTATGGCCCCGGATTTCTCTCTGCTTCCCAGATGGCTTTTCTGCAGAGGCATGGTGTTCATGGAGGAGTGGTTTTAGTCTTTCAGAACCAAAGGGGCTGACTGGGTCCACACCTTCTTCTAAAGTACGTAATCCCACCTTAATCGGGTCCATTAGCATAGCTGAGAATTCCCTCTAAAATGGAAATTATAGCCACAGGCATAGAGGCCAGAATTTATAAAGCATCACTTAATTTAGAAGTGTCATAAATTAACTACAGGAGGTGGTTTCCATGCAATACTTGTAGGGAGAGTTGTCACACTGTATTTTTACCTAGAGGAATATACATTGACACTGTTAATAACTGGATATGTTTGTTCCCCCGCCCCCCCTCTCCACCACCAGGGTGCTGAGCTCTTTCACTTCAAGGTATCTGTTGTTCCAGGGCTCACCTTTTGCAACTTAGTTGAAGAATTTCAGGTACAGTGAATGTGTAAGGTATCAAATGGGGTGCTGGATAGGGAAATAAGATAACAAGGGTCAAGCAAGACATACTGAAGATTTTTTTTTAATTGGTAGGATTTTTTTTTAAACATTTTATTAGGGGCTCATACAACTGTAATCGCAATCCATACACACATCAATTGTGTAAAGTGTATTTGTACATCATTCTCAAAACATTTTCTCTCCACTTAAACCCCCGACATTAGGTCCTCATTTTTTCCCTTCACCCACTTTTCGGTTGTCTGTCCCCCAGGGAGGAGGTCACACACAGTTCCATGTAATCGGTTCCCTCTTTCCTACCCATTCTCCCTTTACCCTCCCTGTTTTGCCACTCACACCACTGGTCCTATAGGGCTCATCCGTCCTGGATTCCCTGTATTTTCAGTTCCTATCTGTACCAGTGTACATCCTCTGGTCTAGCCAGTCTTGCAAGATAGAATTCAAGTCATGGTAGTGGGAGTGGGGAGGAAACATTTAGGAACTAGAGGAAAGTTGTATTTCTCATCGTTTTTTACATCGCACCCTGTAATTGGTAGGATTTTTATGATGAACAGTGATCCTGGAGAATGATGATGAAGTTGTCAGTGTGCTAGACAGGGTTCTCTTGAGAAACAAAACTAGGACCCTTATGGTTAGATAGATAGATAGATAGATAAATAGATAGATAGATAGATAGATAGATAAGATAGATAGATACTGCACGAAAGAATATAACAGCAAATTAGTCTACACAGCAGTACAGAGGGCTCAGTTCAACTCACTTCTGTGGAACAGGGCCGCTGTGTCCAAGGTCAAGGAAGCAGATGACCGAGTCTTCCGTAGGACAAAGCAGGCAGTCCAGCCACAGGTAGCAAACAGTAGGGTGGGTCACCAACAGTCAGCAAGATGACAGGATCTGACAGCCCCAAGCTCAAGTGATATACTCCCCAGCAGTGTGGCAAAGCATGTCTCAGAGGAACCTCAAGCTCTAAAGACAAGATCCATGGGTTGCTAGTTCCACAGGTTGTGTAGCTCATGAGTTGAGGCAGAAAACAAGCAGCTGCAGGATGGTCGGATCACCAGAGAACAATAGAGAGAGAGGTGGGGCTTGCCAAGTCATTTATCTCTTTACCCTCCAATCAAACTGCGACCTTATTCATTCCACATGTTCTTATTGGCCAGGTTGGCACAATAAAACTACCTGTCACAGTCAGTAATGGTGAAACTATTGCATGACAGGGGACACAACCAATTGAGGCTGAGGAAACAAACTAAGTGCTTGTATTTACTTTTGTTCCTTCCCCACTTTCTAGACTTAACTTGGTTTTTTCACTTTTTAAAAATTGTTGTGAAAATATAGGTAATGCAACATTTGCCATCTCAGCTTTTAAAAAAATTTTTAATAAATCATTTTATTGGGGTTCTTACAGCTCTTATAAGAATCCATCCATCCAGTGTATTGAGCACATTTTAACATATGTTGCCATCATCCTTTCCAAACCATTTTCTTTCTACTTGAGGACATTTCAGCATTTTTATGTGTACAATTAAACGAGACAAACTATATAATGCTGTGTAAGTATCACCAATATCCATTACCAACGTCTCCATTCCCATAAACAGAAACTCAATGCTAGCTCAACGGTGACTCCACCTCATTCCCCCATCCTTCCATCCCTGGAAGCCGCCATTAACTTCTGGTCTCTATTCATTTGTCTGTTGTAGGCATTTCATATCAGTGAGATCTTACATGGTTTGTCCTTTCGTGTTTAGCTTATTTCATCCAGCCTAGGGTTTTCAAGGTTAATCCGTGTTGTGGCATCTCTCAGGAGTTCATCTTGCTCTATTGCAGAGCAGTATTCTATCATATACACACACACACACACACACGTGTGTGTGTGTGTGTGTGTGTGTGTGTGTGTGTGTGTGTGTAGGTGCATACATACATGAGGCAGCTTCAAAAAGTTTGTCCAAGACAATGGGGTTTTTCCACAAACGTTCCAAAAGCCCTTCAAAGATTACATTTCATTCCTCTCATATGTCTGAGAGGACATTTTTACTTTCCAACATTATTTGGAAAGTAATATTTTGCATTCTGATGTTATTTGGTTGTGTGCCTTGAGTCTTAAGTACTTCAATGCTTGGAAGATCCAAAATTGATCTCCCCATATAACCTATGAAAACAGCAACTCATTTTAGTCATTCATAGAACGGCAGCTGCTGCCTGGGGGGGTAGGAAGGAGTGAGGGTTTTACTGAATTGCTGGATGACACATTTCATTCAGTGTCACTTACTGATGCCATATTGCCACCACCTCACCCCCAAGAAATATCTTGTCGGCTGAGAGAGCCAAAAATATGAGACGAAGGGGTTCATGTATGCTAATTCTGAACAGATGTGGTAGTAATGGGAAACATCAGTATGTTGGTAACAAAAGCAATAAGAATGAGACAGTTGGTGTATTCATTGAGCTTTTGTGGTCAGGGGAGAAATCATCCAGAAGGAGTCCCTTGGGAGCAGAGGTGACATGGGAAAGGAATGACAAATCAAACACCTCTGCATGGTGATAAGTAAAGGTATGGATGAACTCAACTCCTTGCCCCCAAGTCCATTTTCACAAGCTGTGAGTATTGGTTAAGCCCAAGGCCATTGGACTCGCTTAAAAACAGGAAAAGAAATTAGTCCTGAGGTAGGCTTTATGAGATGAAGGAGAATCAAGATAGATAACCTTTCCTAGAGCTGTGTCTGGAGCCCTGGTGGTGTAGTGGTTACGAGTTGGCCTGCAATCTGCAAGGTCGACAGTTCAAAACTACCAGCCACTCCTCAAGAAAGATGAGGCTTTCTACTCCCATACACAGTTACAGACTCAGAACTACAGGGGAAGTTCTGTCCTGTCCTATATGGTCACTCTGAGTCAACATCGATTCGATGGCAATGAGAGAAAAGAGGAGAGAGGGGAGAGAGAGGGGTCTTAGTTGGCTAGAACTTCTGGGCCTAATCTACCCTTTTTCATCTCAGAAGTGATTAGGTCCAAAATAAGCTCTACACTGAGATGGCCTTGTTAGGATTACAAAAAGCCCTGTTCCTCAGTGGGATGACCTCCATCAGTATAGGGGTGAGGATTCCGACAAATGTTTTGAGGGAACACCATTCAGCTTCTAACAAGCTGTAACAGATGGGGTCCAGCACACAATGTCAGGCCACCTTTGAGATATCAGGTAACCTTTCATACCTTGCGTCTTAGCTAGTACAGCTATCACAGACATACTTCAAGTGGATGACTTTAGCAAACAGACATTTTTCCCTGGCCCTTTCTCACTCACTGCCAGCAAGTCTATTCTGTCTCATGGAGATGCTACAGGACAGAGTAGAACTGCCCCTGTGGGTTCCAAGATGGTAACTCTTCACAGGAGTAGAAAGCCTTGTCTTTCTCCCTCAGAGCTGCAGGTGGTTTCAAACTGCTGACCATATGGCTAGCAGTCCAGTGCCACCAAGCCTCCTCCTGTCACAGTTTAGAAAGCTAGAAGTCCACATCTAGGCCATCAACTCTCCAGGGAAACCTTTCTCCTTCTTTCAGCTCTAGGAGCATGGTCTTGTCCCCAATCTCCCTCTGGGTCTAGAACTTCTCATCCCGGAGACCCTGGGTCCCCAGGATACACATGACCACTAACTCTTCTTTCTTTGTGATTGGAGGCCCCTGTCTCTACTTGCTTGTTTAATCTCTTTGGTATATCAAAAGAGATGTACTCAAAATACAATCTAATCCTGTTTATTGTATCCTGCCACATTAATTTAACTGCCATTGTCCTTGTAGCTAGGTGCCACCAAGTCCGTTCCAGCGCATAAGGGCCCTGTGTGCAATAGAAGGAACGCTGCCCAGTCCCGCACCATCCTCACCGCCGTTGTTCTGTTTGAGCCCATCATTGCAGCCACGATGTCAACCCACCTTGTTGAGTATCTTCCTCTCTTCTGGTGACCTTTCACTTTCCCAAGCATGATGTCCTTTTCCAGGGACTGGTCTCTCCTGATAACATGTTCAAAGTCCATGAGACGAAGTCTTGCCGTTCTTGCCTCTGGGGAGCATTCTGGCTGTACTTCTTACAAGATAGATTTGTTTGTTCTTTGGCGGTCTGGGGTACTTTCAGCACTCTTGGCCAGTACCATCACTCAAATGCATCAATTCTTCCTCAGTCTTCCTTCTTCGTTGTCCAGTTTTCACATATGTATATGAAGAGATTGAAAATAACCATGGCTGTAGGGTACTCTTTAGTCTTCAAAGTAACAACAACCTTGCTTTTCAACACTTTAAAGAAGTCTTATGCAGCAGAATTACCTAATGCAATGCGTCATTTGATCTCTTAACTGCTGCTGCCGTGAGCACTGATTGTGGAGCCAAGCAAGAGGAAACCTTTGACCGCTTAAATCTTCTCTCTATTTATCAGGACGTTACCTACTGGTTCAGGTGTGAGGCTTTTGGTCTTCTTTACATTGAGCTGTAATTCATACTGAAGGCTATAATCCTTGATCTTCATCAGCAAGTGCTTCAAGTCCTCCTCACTCTTAAAAAGCAAGGTTGTAATAAGCCTTCCTCCAATCCTGATGCCACATTCTTCTTCATATAAGCCAGCTTCCCTGATGATTTGCTCAGCGTACCCATTTAGTAAGTATGGTGAGAAGATACAGCCTTGATGTATACCTTTCCTAATTTCAAACCATGCAGTATTCCCTTGTTCTGTTTACACAACTGCCTCTTGATCCATGTACAAGTTCCATGTGTTAGGCCGGGTTGACTAGAGAAACACATCCAGGGACACTTGTATTTGCTTTATATCAAGATGTAATTCTATAATAAGGGCATATCCCAGCCCAGTCCAACTCAAGTCCATAAGTCTGATAATAGTCCATAAGTCCCTCATCAGACTCACGTGCAATGATGCAGAATGCTGGAATATCACAGGCTGGTGGGTGAAAAGTGCTTTGGATCCACAGTCAGTGGAAAACCTCACAGGGCTCCGGCAGCTCTCAGGGTCAACAAGCAGGAAGGTCAAGGGAAAGAGAGAGGCTGGCCTCCAGAGAGTTATATATCTCAGTTGCACCTCCAAGGGAGGTCATCAGGCTGTGACCTGATTGACAGGTTAAACTCCACCTATATCTTCTTCACAGGAGCCATGTTGGTACAAAAGACCTAACTATCACGTTCCTTAGAGCACAAGGCAGTGTTCTGGAATTCCCATTCTTCTCAGGCTGTCCATTAGTTTGTCAATTGAATGCTTCTGCATGGTTAATAAAACACAGAAATTATCTTTCTGTTATTCTCTGCTTCCAGCGAAGATCCGTCTGACATCAGCAATGGTGACACTTGTTCCATGTCCTCTTCTGAGTTGGGCCTAAATTTCTGTCAGTTCCCTGACAGTGTGCTGCTGGAATCGATGTTGGATGATCGTCAATAAAATTTCACATGCATGTGATGGTAACGACAGTGTGCCATAATTTGAGCATCCCATTGGGTAACCTTTTCTGGAATGGATACAACTACATATCTCTTCCAGTCAGATGGCCAGGTAGCTGTCTTCTAAATGGGTCGGTACAGACTGCTTCATCAGCTTGTTGAAACATTTCAATTGATATTCTATCAACTCCTGGAGCCTTGTTTTTGCCTCATGCTTTCAGTGCAGCTTGAACTTCTTCCTTCAGCACCATTAGTTCTTGCTCATGTGCTGCCTCCTGAAATGGCAGGCTGTTGACTAGATCTTTTGGATACAGTGACTATGTCTTCTTTCTATTTCTCTTTGATGCTTCCTGCAGCATTCAATATTTTGCCCTTAGAATCTCTCAATAGGGCAACTCTAGGCTTGAATTTTTTCTTGAATTCTTTCAGTTTAAGGGATGTTGAGTATATTCTTCCTTTTTGGTCTTTGCACATTTCATTATCATATTTGACTTTGTCTTCTCAAGTGGCCCTTTGAAAATTTCTGTTCTGTTCTTGGACTTCATCATTTCTTCCATTTGCCTTAGCTGGTGGCGCAGTGGCTGTGCATTGGGCTGCTAACCACAACGTTGAAAGTTCAAGACCACTAGCCACTCTATAGGAGAAAGACGAGGCTTTCTCCTCCAGTAAAGAGTTACGATCTCCAAAACCCACAGGGACACTTATATCCTGTCCATTAGGGTCACTATGAGTCAGAATAGACTCAATGGGAGAGGGAGAGAGAGAGAGAGAGAGAAAGCCCTGGTGGTGTAGTGGTTCTGCGTTGAACTTCTAACCACAAGTTAGGCAGTTCAAAATCACCAGCTGCTCAGAGAAAGAAAGGTGAGGCTTTCTGAAAGAGTTGCCATTTCAGAAACCCCCAGGGAAGTTCTACCCTGTCTTCTAGGGTCACTATAAGTCCGAATCAACTTGACGGCAGTGAGTGCGTTTGGAAATATCTCTCGAAGCCTGGGCAGAATTCTGTTAAGTTATCAATCATGTCGCTGCCATAGTGGGACTCATGTACAATGGACTGTTTTGACTGGCTGCATTCAAAGAGCTTACTCACCAACTTCTCTCTGTGTTGTAGATTTACGTGGATCAGGTGCCATTGCCATTCCCAGGACACACCCTCATCGCCATCGCAGCAGCCATACTGCTTGGGGGATTTGTTTTTGTCGTGTTTATGTTTCAACTGCATAACATTCACCCTTGGGAGATGTGCCGGAAAAAATGTATAGGAGAGGCCATGATGTAATCCAACACTGTTGCCTCGAGATGGAGCCAATGACGAAAATCTGAATGGCAAACAAATGATGACCACAATTTTCCCTTTATTTCCTCCTTGTATCGAATAATTCCTAGGAACTAGATTATATACGACAGTGTCGTCATTCATTCGTTCAATTTTATTATTTTTATTAGGATTGATTATTTTTATTATTAAAAATGCATGGACAATTTCTTATTTCAGCATGTATCCAGGGAACTGCCCTTGAGGTTTCAAGGAAAACAGAAATTGATAAACATCTTTGTGTGGAAAGTGCTTTCTGTATTTGGGGGCTGAGGGAGACTCTTTATAGCCGGAACCATCACATGTCTGTCGGTGTGTTGCGCTGTGGTAGTGTGTGTGTTGACTTGTTAGGCTCTATGCCACTGGTACTTCAAATGCTCTCAGAGTCGCCCATGGAAGACAAGTTCCACTAGAGCTCCCAGACTAAGACCGACTAGGGAAAAAGAACCTGACGAGCTACTTCTGGACAAACATCAGTCCGTGATAACCTTCTGTCCATTACAGTGTTGGAAGGTGAGCCCCTCAAGTTAGAAGGGGCTCAAAGCACGACTAGGGAAGAGCTGTCTCCCCAACGAAAAGTATCCTCTAATGTTGTGGATAGAATCAAGTTCAAGGGCCTTCCGTTGCTGATGCGGCACAACATAAATTAGTAATTGGAAGATGGGTTGGACAAAGGATGACTTGAGGTAAAGAAAAGCATGCGTTGGTGAAGAAGCCCATGGACAGCCAGAAGAACAATCAATTCTGCCTTGGAACGAGTACCGGCAGAATGTGCCTTAGAAACAAGGGTGGTGAGATCTCGCCTCACGTATTTTGGACATATTATGAGAAGGGACCACTCCTTGGAGAAGAGCATCCTACTTGATAAAGGATCAGCTAAAAAACAAAAGAAGGAGAAGCCCCTCCTCAATGTGATGAACTGACACAGTGGCTGCAACAAAGGGGTTCCAACACAGGAGTGCTGTGAGGCTGCTTTGGGACCAGACGAGGTCCTGTTGTGCACGCCGACTGGCTGGCATCTAAGAATAGGAGCCGGAGACCATTCTGTGGCCGGTCCTTTGCAGGCAGAGGTGTGTGGAGGACAGTTAGACCAGGATGGAGATAGGTGGGGAAGGAGGTGAAACTGCTGGAGTATCATCAGAGCCTCACAAGAAGTAAAAATGAAGCGATTGGGGTTTCGTGAGGCACTTTCACACTGGATTGTGGTCCCCGAGGAAAGGAAGCCTGGTGGTTTCCCCAATACATCGTAGGGGTGTATTGGAAGGACACTGGTCTGAGTGAGGCACTGTTGACAAGCGTATGAGGAGTATGCAGAATTCCAGAGGATGCACATACCCCCCTGGGTGCTCCCTGAAGCACCTGTCCCCAGTTAGGCTGAAGATGGCCAGTGACTGCATTCGGAGGTCAGAGGTATACACTCGTAGAGACATCCCAGAAGGAGTGTGGCATGATTTTGACAACAGAAAGGATGTAGAGACCTCTGTCCAGAATTCCCATGCAACATCAAACCAAAGCCAAAGATGAGAAGGCAAGAGTGGACCGGGACACTGGACACATGACAGTGGCATAGCAATCTTTACCAAAGCAGAATGCCAGGTCTCGCTCCCTCGGAGTCCGTGTCGGTTGGATGCCGAGCACTTCACCGGGCCACTCCGGCTCCTCCAGAGATGAGAATGTTTACTGTGACTGTGGTTTGGGTGGGAAACGTGTGCTGCTGTCGTGAGGCGCAGCTGAGTCAGTTCTGACTCTTGGGGGCCCATGTCCATCAAAGCCAAACACTGCCCAGTCCTGCAACATCCTCACAAGGGTTGTTATCTTTGAACCCACTGTTACAGCCATCGTGTCACTCCATCTCCTTGAGGGTCTTCCTCTTTTTTTGCGGACCCTCCACTTTACCAAGCAGGATGCCCTTCTCCACTGACCGGAATATATGTTGACACAAGGGAAATTAAAAATGTGCTGCTTCTAGGGCCAGTTCATACACACGTGGGTTTATGCCAAACGTAAAGATGTTGAAATGTGTCCCTGTAATCAGTGGATGGTTGCAGACACGTCCTCTCAGTAATACACTTAACTTTGTCTCACTATGATGCCTTAAAAAAAAGATTATTTTTGTGCCATGGATAAAAATGATGATGATTTTTCAATCAGGGCTAATATCAAATTTTTAAGGAAGCTCAAGTGGGCATCTTCCCAAATCATTAAAGCTTTGAAGCAAGCTTATAGGAATGGTGTCCTACACAAAACAACAGTTTTGAGATGCATCAGCCTTTTAAGGAAGACTTCAAAGATGAGCCAAGGAAGGGAAGACTGTCAACCTCAGCCAATGAGGAAACTAGATGCAAGGTCCAGAAAGGGGTGTAAGAAGACCAGGGAGCTATCCATGATGAAACAGCTACCGGAATGGGTGTGGTTGTAGGAGGGGGAGCCAGCCCCCCACCACTAATTATGGGTTCAGTAAGCACAATGGCACCATTGAGATATCTAAATATTAAAGTCATCAAGAGCATGAGATATAGAAGCGAATATTAAAATAATGGAATCAGACACATTTCATGGTAGCATTACTCACCTCAGCCCCGCTTGGTGGTCCACGTGGAGAGAGGGGGAAGGGAAGGAGGACAAGAGGAAAGGGAAAGGGAGGAGAGGGAGCCAAGGAGAGGTCAAGGGAGGAGCCCAGAGAGAGATCTCTATTGCTAACCCAGGCCTATATCCCTTTGTGGGCGTGCAAGCCCACTAATCACAGCTAAAGACATACGTCACAGGCAGGGGCTGCACTATAGGTTATACAGCAATGAGAGGGGGTGATCTAGGGGCATACATGCAATAGGAAGAGGAGGGATTGGGGGTATGCATGTGACAAGAAGGGTGGACCCTAGATTCATGGTGGCAGCCTAACCTTGGTCACCCTTGGGTGTGTTTGACCTCTCTGAGGTCTCCTACAAGGAAACAGACAACTACTATCCTTATCAGAAGGGAGTGGGCCCTACTTGTGGGATAAACAGTGGTGATTGCTTGGTCTAGATGGCTGATAACCCTTAGGGAGAATGACCCTGACCTTCTGATGACCTCCACGTGTATAGTCATTTGCAAGCAGCTAAGTTTGGCATATATTTGGGGGAGACAACTTGGGAGAAATCCTTCTGTTTCCCAAAAATGGAGATCTCAGATGCTTCAGTGATTTCAAGTTTGAGGGAACACCTCAAGGGGTGTCAAAAGCTTTACATGAAGATCCACTAGTTTAAACAGCTGGCTTTGCCATCCATCTTTTAAGCAAGCTGGGACCTAATGAAGATGATTTTACGGGCCAAGCCATAACCAGGGATGAGAGCTAGCGTTAGGGTGGAGAGAGCCAAGTTCAATCAGCACAGTGGTCTCAGAGGGGCTCTTGCGGGGCCAGTGAAATTCCAGGCAGAGAGGGCAGCGCAGAAGGTGATGGCCACCATTGCGTGGTATTCCAGAGAGATTATCTTGGTAGATTTCCTCAGAGGACACAGGATAATTACAAAGGCTTCTTGGGAAGAGGTTTTAAGGACATGGAAACCCACCCAGGAAGTTCTGCTTTGGAATTCTTTTCCCTTCCTGCCAGCACCCCTGCTCATGCCCTGGAGGACAGAAAGGCTATCCAGGGAGCATGTCTGGGCGCTTACCTTCTGAGCCTGCACTCACCCTTTCATACTGTTCCCCCTGAAAAACTTAAAGAGCATTTGCAAGGAAGATGCTTTGCGCCCCTCAAAGATGCCAAGTTACAGAACCCTTCTGGGAGGGGGTCCCAACACAAAAACCTTAGACACCGCCGTCAGAAGTGAAGAGACCTAGATGGGGGACAGGCGGAGAAACGATCGCGTCACATGTCAGTGACTTGTTCACTAAAAGTTTCCGTGCACTCATTCTTCATTTGCCTCTGCAGGCATGTGCTTATGATATGAGCACGTGAGCCTAAGGGGAAGATGGAAGGGTGTCAGAGAAGTGATCCGGGTAAGTTGCCCGGAAGGTGAAGCAGGGATCCCACAGTCAAAGAAGAGGAAGAGGAAGAGGAAGGCAACCAAAGAGCAGACGAAAAACACTTGCCGGTTTTGAGAAGGAGAAACGCCTTTGGGGTCAAATGGTGTGGTTTTGTGATTTTCATAGGTAGTGGTTTTACAAAGATGCGGTGAGTGAGCGAGCCATCCATGTCACGTTTTCTTTTCCATCTTGTCATCCCCGATGATGTCATGGCGCAGTCTCATCGTTCCAGCGGCTACTGGGGAGTTGTTGGTTTTGCATGCCTTAATTTGTGGTCGGTGATTTTCAAACAGTCGGGGGAAATGGTGAAAATAGGCTTGCTTGTGATATTTCTGACTGGAGAAGCAGGCCTCTGGAGCACGCTTCACCAGCTCCTATGTCTATGGGACTAAGTTTGACAGTGAGCCCTGTTAGGTGTTCTGAAAGCGCCCCCTTGGGGTAGCTGCATTACCTGGCAAGGCAATATTCAATGTAACTCAGAATTCTTGTTAAGAGAGTTCGTGGACCAGAGAGAAGTGGCTGGCCTCTACACTATACTGGTGCAAGGTTTAAAGCACTCGCTGCTAACCAAAAGTCAGGGGCTTGAACCCGCTTTCCTCGCTGCAAGAGAAAGATGCAGCCGGGAACACCAGTAAAGACTGGCCACCTGGGAGACCAGTGGGTTGCTGTGAGTCAAAATGATCTAGACTGCAACAGATTTTATTTTTTATTTGGGGATTTAAAAAAAAATAATTTTATTGGGGGCTCATACAACTCTTATCACAATCCATATATCCATCCAAGCACGTTTGTACATTTTTTGTCGTCATCATGCTCAAAACGTTTGCTTTCTACTTAGCTCTTGGTATCAGCTCCTCACTTTTTCCCCTCCTTCCCTGCCCCCTCCCTCATGAACCCTTGATAATTTATAAATTCTTATTTTGTCATGTCTTATACTCTCCGATGTCTCCCTTCACCTA